CTCAGAAGAAGGCAGTAGTGTAGCGGGAGTCTGTAGTCGGTGTGTCGACGAGACCAGACGGTGAGTGACTGTGAGGAGTGAGTTTATAAAGGGAGGATGATTGGGACGGTGATTGAAGCGGGCAGGTGACAGTGATTAGTATGCTGGGGAGCTGAACGAGTGGGCGGAGTGAAGGTGTCTGGTTGCTGACGCAGATGGATCCGTGACAGTACCCCCCCCCACGGCCAGCTCCAGCTGGCGGACGGGACCGACGACGGGGACGACCACGGCTCCGGGGCGCTGGACGATCTGGGTGGGTGTGTGGAAGTCCTGGAGTAACGAGGGATCCAGAATGTCCTCCCGGTTGACCCAGCATCTCTCCTCGGCACGAATCCCTCCAGTCCACGAGATATTCCAAGCGGCCGCCCCGTCGTCGGGAGTCGAGGATTTCATGGACTCGGTAGATGTTGTCATCTTCCGGATCCGTAGGAGGAGGGGGCACTCCGCAGCACCAGACCCTGGGGAAGAAGGAGTGAGAGGTTTAGTGTACGGCTTGAGCAAGGAGACATGGAAGGTGGGTGCGATGCCGGTAGTGAGCGGGGGAGTGCCAGCCGGTAGGTGACGGAGTTGATCTGCCTCTGAATCGGGAAAGGACCGATATATCTGGGACTCAGCTTCCGACAGGGCTGTCGGAGACGGATGTCCCGGGTGGATAGCCAGACCAGTTGTCCGGGAAGGTAGTGAGGGGCGTCGGTACGGCGAAGGTTGGCCTGGTTCTGGTGTCTCCGAACAGCCCGCTGGAGGTGAGTATGAGCTGAGTCCCAGACTCTCTCGCTCGTCTGGAACCAGTGGTGGACTGCTGGGACGTCAGATGGTTCTCCTGACCAGGGGAATAGTGGAGGCTGGTAGCCGAGTATGCACTGGAAGGGGGTGAGGCCGGTGGTGGTTTGTCGGAGGGAGTTCTGTGCATACTCGGCCCAGGGTAGGTAACGGCTCCAGCAGTCCTGGTGGTCGTGGCAGTATGACTGCAGGTATCTCCCAATCTCCTGGATCTTCCGCTCAGTCTGGCCGTTGGACTGGGGATGGTATCCAGAGGTGAGGCTGACGGTCACTCCCAGAAGGTTGAAGAATGCCCTCCACACTCGAGAAATGAATTGGGGTCCTCGATCGGAGACTACGTCCTCGGGGATCCCAAAGTTACGAAAGATGTGTTGGAACAGTGCTTCAGCTGTTTCAAGGGCTGTGGGTAGACCCGGAAGGGGAATTAGCTTGCACGCCTTGGAGAAGCGGTCCACTACGACCAGAATGCAGGTGTGGTTGTCAGATATGGGCAGGTCGGTGACGAAGTCCACTCCGAGATGGGACCACGGTCGAGTGGGTATTGGGAGAGGAACCAGCTTGCCTTCCGGGAGATGACGGGGAACCTTGGCCATGGCACAGACTGAGCATCCCCTGACGAACCGGGAGACGTCCTGGGCCATACCCGGCCACCAATAGCGCTGTTGGACGAGCGAGAGAGTGGCTTGGCTGCCTGGGTGTCCAGAGCCCGGAGAGGTGTGCACTGAGTCCATGAGGGACAGGCGTAGACGGGTTGGAACATAGACCCGTCCCTCTGGACCTCCCGGCGGAGCAGGTTCGAGTTGCGTGGCATCGGCGATGTGGTCATCTAGGCTCCATTGGATGGGGCTGACGACCACGGCTGGAGGGAGAATGGGTTCAGGTTCGGAAGAAGGTGTCTCAGGTTGGAACTGACGGGAGAGTGCATCTGCCTTTACGTTCTTTTCACCGGAGCGATAGGTGACTGAGAAATTGAAGCGGGTGAAAAACAGGGCCCAACGGGCTTGACGGGGGTTGAGTCTCTTGGCCTCCCGGAGGTACTCGAGGTTGCGGTGGTCAGTGATTACCGTGAACGGGTGTTGGGCTCCCTCCAGCCAGTGCCTCCATTCCTCCAACGCCAATTTAATGGCTAGTAACTCCCGGTTGCCGATGTCGTAGTTTTGCTCCGCCGGGGACAGCTTCTTGGAGTAGAAGGCGCATGGATGGAGTTGAGCTGGATTCCCCTGCCGCTGAGAGAGGACCGCTCCTACCCCCGAGATGGAGGCATCCACCTCGACGAGGAAGGGCACGGCGGGGTCCGGAAGGGCGAGGGTAGGAGCGGAGCCAAAGGCTGACTTCAGGGCTTGGAAGGCTTGGGTGGCTCGGGTGTTCCAGGACAGAGACTTGGCCCCGCTCTTGAGAAGGTCGGTGAGTGGAGAACTGATGGGACTGAAGTTCTGGATGAAACGGCGGTAGAAGTTGGCAAACCCCAGAAACCGTTGGAGCTCCTTACGGGTGGTGGGTTGTGGCCAATGGAGTACCGCTTCCACCTTCCTCTGGTCCATGGTGATTCCGTGTGGGGTGATGACGTAACCGAGGAAGTGGATGGTGCTTTGGTGGAATTCACATTTCTCCAATTTGAGGTAAAGATGGTAATCTCGTAGGCGTTGGAGTACTGTCTGAACGTGATGGATATGGGAGGTCAGATCGGGAGAGTATATGAGGATATCGTCGATGTAAATGACGACGAACTGATTGAGAAGATCACGGAATGTTTCGTTCATGAAGCCTTGAAAGATGGCGGGTGAGTTGGACAATCCGAAGGGCATCACGAGATATTCGTAGTGCCCTGCGGGAGTGATAAAGGCGGTCTTCCACTCATCGCCTTCCCGGATACGGATGAGGTTGTAGGCACTACGAAGATCGAGCTTGGTGTAAACGGATGCCCCTCGGAGTTGTTCCAGGGCGGCTGGGACCAGAGGAAGGGGATAGCGGAATTTAACGGTGGCTTGGTTGAGGATCCGGTAGTCGATGCAAGGGCGCAAGCCTCCGTCCTTTTTGCCCACGAAGAAGAAACTCGAAGCGGCAGGGGATACTGATGGTCGTATGAATCCGTGGTCGAGAGCCTCTTGGATGTACTCCTCCATGGCCTTCTGCTCCGGGATGGACAGAGGGTAGATCTTACCTCGCGGTAGGACCGCCCCAGGCAGCAGGTCGATCGCGCAGTCCCATGACCGATGAGGGGGTAGAATGGTGGCTTGGTGTTTATCGAAAACATCCTGGAACGCCCGGTAGGGAGAGGGGATCTCGGGAGAAGGTTCTACTGGTGGGCTCTCCACGGAGGTGGTGGAGAGAGAAACGGTCGGAGTGGCGGAAGAAACTGGAGATTTCGTCACGGAGGGAAGACAGTGCTGGAAACAGTCATGGCCCCACCGTAGAACCTCGCCGGTGGACCACTGAATGTGAGGCGAATGGGTCTCCAACCAGGGGCGTCCCAGGATGATCTCAGCCGTCGATCCCTCCAGCACCAGAAA